TTTTCAACGTTCTCAAACACTAGCTGTAAGTCAGTGCGCTGTTCTTCCAGGATGTCATATAAAGAAAACAAATGTAGGTAAACAATGTTGAACAATCGACTAAATTACTTATCAATCCTTTCCATAAATTGTGATTTAACAAAACGTTGACAATGTGATAAGCAAATAAAGGAATTAGCAGCGCAAAAATCCAGAAAGGTCTTCATAATTTATTTAACATAACTACAAATATTGCCTTGTAGTGGCGGTTGAGAATATCCACTACCCCATATCGTCCCGTGGGTGTCGTAAGAGGCGACAGAGGGAGTCATACAGGTTTACGCACCAACCTTGGCACATCCCGATGAGGAGGTGGAGGAATTGTATGAGGATATTTCTAGAGACATGCATTCCGCCAAAGCCCACTACACGGTGTTGATGGGAGACTTCAACGCAAAACTAGGCACAAGAGAAAGCGGTGAGCTGAAGTTAGGGAAATTTGGAGTAGGGAAACGGAACCGTAGGGACCAGCAGCTGGCTGACTTTATGGAGAAAGAGGGACTCTTTATGATGAACTCTTTCTTCCAGAATCGGCCCCACAGGAAGTGGACCTGGTCGAGCCCCGACGGTTCGACAAAGAATGAGATTGACTTCATTATGACGACCAGACGCCAATTGTTCAGTGATGTCTTAGTGATCGCGAGGGTGAAAACTGGCAGCGATCACCGAATGGTTAGAGGCACACTGAACTTAAACGTTAAGTTGGAGAGGTCTCGTCTAGTGAAGTCAACGCTCCGTCCCCCTCGTGCGCTAATCCAGGGTCCCAAAAACTTTCAGCACGTATTACAAAACCGTTTTCAGTGCCTAGAAGACTGCAATACAGTGGATGATATGAATGACAAGCTCGTGGAAACTGTCCATGCGGTCGGAGCTAAGTTCTGCAAGACCCGCCGCAGGAGAACACAAAAACTCTCCGATCATACTCTTATTCTCATGGATATTAGACGGGCGATGAAGCTGCAGTCGTCAGCAGATTTGTCAGCATACAGGCAACTGAACGGACAGATCTCCAAATGAATGCGGCAGGACTTACGCAACTTCAATACAGCACGATTTGAAGAAGCGATTAAGCGGAACCAGGGCTCCAAAGTCTTTGCCAGAGATCTATCTGCCAGTAAGAACCAACTGTTAAAGCTGAAGACTGAGTGTGGCAGCATCGTTTCTGGGATACCTGAGATTCTATTTATTTATTTATTTATTTTATTCTTTACTGCATCCTTAACAAAAGAATACAAAGGGCGGACTTAATGCCTTGAGGCATTCTCTACCAGTATTAGTAGTAGTACTAGTAGTAGTAGTACCAGATTCTGAGTGAGATTGAGCGGTTCTATGGGCAGCTGTACACATCATCGTTGGAGCCACACGCAAGTGTGAGTAACGATCCAAGAGCAAGTATTATCCGACACTATTCCGATGATATTTCGGACGTCAGTCTGAGCGAGATTAGAATGGCTCTCCAGCATCATCAAAACGGCAAGTCCTCGGGCGAGGATGGAATTACAGTGGAGCTTCTGAAAGCGGGTGAAAAACCGGTACTTGAAGTCCTTCAGAAGCTCTTTAATTCCGTCCTTCATGGAAGCACTACTCCTGAGGCGTGGAACAGAAGTGCAGTGGTCTTGTTCTTCAAGAAAGGTGACAACGCCCTCTTGAAGAACTACAGACCGATATCCCTTCTGAGACGCGTCTACGTGCTGTTTTCGAGAGTCATTACGAATCGTCTCGCACTCGACGACTTCCAGCCTCCCGAGTAAGCTATTTTCCAAAAAGGCTTTAGTACCATAGACCACTAAATTCGGCAATTTGTACAGAAGACCGAAGAGTAAAATCTGCCACTTTGCCTGGCGTATGTGGACTATGAGAAAGCCTTTGATTCTTTTTTTTTTATTTATTTAGAGAACCACAAACAAGTTTACAATATGTCATATGTTAAAGCTTATGTTCTATTACAATTTATTACTTATTATAAACTCAACGACGATGGTCACACATTGAGTATAAAAAAATAAGATAATATGTGAGGGACCTAGTTTTGTAAAAGAAAAGTATTTTAATTTCTAAAATATTATTTTGACATATATTAGAGGTTAGAGTTTAGTGTTTTAGCATATGTGCGCTCGCATGCGATCGCGCACGCGTGTGTATATCTTTATGCATGTATATATATATATATATATATATATATATATACATATATATATATATGTGTGTGTGTGTGTATATATATACATATATATAATCATTGGTTAGATGATTTATAATTAGTATTATTTAGTTTAGGTCTTTAACGAGATATTAAGTGTTTAACAGCAAGTTTACTAGCTGTCTGTTATAGGATCTGGCACTGTAAGTAAATAAATCTACAGAATTAAATTTTTTGTTGTATGTGTCAACCATACTATGAAGGGGTGATCTGATACCAGCGTTTGTCCGAGATCTTGGCACAGCAAAGAGTGAGTGAGGACGCAAAGAACGCATACGTGCCCGAGATGGTACGGAGTAACTAATACGATTAATTAAATCTGCGCAGTCGTACGTGTTATTGCACAGATCATAAAGTAATCTTGCCTCAAGTTGAGTGCGCCTAGACCTTAAGTCTAAGAGCTTATATTTTGTTAAAAGGAGCACATATGATAAACGCTCACGGTGATACTTATAATTAATGCGACGCAAGAACTTTTTTTGTACCATTTCAATGCTATGATTATATTTATTATAAAGTGGGTTCCATACAGGCGCTCCGTACTCCAATTGTGGCCTGACCAAAGATTTAAAAAGATAGATTAAAGTGAAGGGGTTTCTAAATTCAGTGGAAGAACGAACGAAGTCCGTACATTTTAAAGCTTTACTAATTATCTTTTGTATATGAATATCAAAATGTAATTTGTTATCAATTCCGATCCGTCGAAATTTGGGCGATGCTACAGTCTCTTCAGCGGTGCCAAGTTGACTGTCGGTATATCGAAGTGCTTAAGTGTTTATACAGTAGGGCTACGATGGCTATCCGAGTACAGAACCAAACTACGAAACCTATCCAACTGCAGAGAGGTGTAAGACACGGTGACGTTATATCCCCGAAACTCATCACCGCTGCATTGGAAGATGTTTTCAAGCTACTGGACTGGAAAGGATACGAAATTAACATCAATGGCGAGTACATCACTCACCTTCGATTTGCCGACGAAATAGTCCTTATGGCAGAATCGCTGGAGAACTTAAGCACTATGACCTCAATAGTGCCTCCCACCGAATAGGTCTTAAGAAGAACAAGGACAAAACAAAGACCATGTTTAATGTCCATGTCATACCTATGCCGGTAGTTGTTGGGAGCACTAAGCCTGATGATGAACCTAGGATAAATAGTCCGACTAGGTAAGTCCAACTTCGACCGAAAGGTCGATCGACGGATTCAACTCGGCTGGGCAGCGTTCGGTAAATTATGACACATCTTCTTGTCAGGTATACCCCAAAACCTGAAAACTAAGTTGTACAACCAGTGCATGTTGCCAGTGATAACCTACGGAATCGAGACGTGGTCCTTCACAGCTGGCCATATGAGGACGCTCTAAGTCGCTTAGCGAGCTATGGAGAGGGCTATGCTCGGGGTTTCTCTGCGTGATAAACTTAGAAATGAGGATATCCGCAGTAGAACCAGAGTGACCGACATAGCCCGACGGATTAGTAAGCTGAAGTGGCAATGGGCCGGCCATATATTCGAGGTATAGCTCGAAGAACCGACAACGGTTGGGAAAAAAAGGTTCTCGAGCGGTAGCCACGTACCGGTAGGCGAAGTGTAGGGCGACCCCCCACTAGATGGATTGACGACTTGATAAGACATGCAGGAAGTCGATGGATGCAGTTGGCTCAGGACCTTGCTTTGTGGCATACCTTGGTGGAGACCTATGTTCAGCAGTGACTTGTGAAGGGCTGTAATGATGATGATGATAAACTACACATAACCTGTTAATATCTTATGCAATAATGTCTTACAGTTGCTGTTTATGTATCAAAGTTATATAATTTTTTCCAGACCGTATAATACATCATTACAGAAAACTGTTTTTTGACTTGATTAGTTTGATTAATTTGGTAGGGCACCAACTAGTGTTAGCCCAGAGCCCCACAAATTCACGGTCCGCCCCTGAACAAGCTTACCTCGTATTCTTTCGGGTTGCGACTTATGCTACACCGATGACTCCTACACATTATCAAAAAAGAATTTAATATTTACAAGTCACTATAATTGATCATTCGTATGTTAACCATTGAATAGATTGGTAATGTAAAAAACTAATAGCACCAAGTAATATCATGGATACACTAGATGTACAACAACATCTGAAAAAGATTCATCCCAGTCTAGAAAATAATATTTATGCTACTAATAGACTGCCCATATATACCTACGTACCAACGTATATAATATTATGTAATTTGGATACGGATGATAAACCAGGCTCACATTGGGTAGCTTTATATATTGATACGAATGGCATCGGTCAATATTTTTATTCATATGGACGAACATCTGCACGATACCAGTTTTTAAAAAGGAATTGTAAAAGATGGGACTGGAATATTGATAGGATTCAGAATGAGTGGTCTTCAGTTTGTGGTGAATATTCCTTAATGTATTTGCTATATAAGTTTCAGAGATGTTCAATACATAGTTTTACAAGCACATTTACAGGGAATACACTGTACAACGATATTTTAGTGGATGGATGTTTCGCTCCTATTTTATAAATAATAAGCAATAAAATATTTAAATAAATATTTTACAATAATATAAAAATATTTAAATAAATATTTTATAATATTGTAAAACTCGTTTTTAAACTGAAAGGTTTTGTCACAGTGACAAAATCACGTCTTGCTTGTCAAAATCACGCCGCGTAAACTGTGTAAATTATGGGAAAATCTTCCCACAGAATCTTCCCGTAATCAAGAATATTAAATCTTAGACTGCCTTCAATTTATTAATAACCATAATGTTCGGCAAGGCATACAAATTAAAATCTAACAACACACTAAAAAATTCGGAAAAGTACACAATAATTTTCATTACTTACATTTTTAAAATTTGGGTTTCATTCTTATTATCTTTTTCACTGTTTTGTTACAGAAAGCATTTAGCGCAGCGTATTTTAAATGAATTCCCTGCTGCTACAGATGAGAAAGTGAAAGAGTTGGTGCCAGTAAAATCAAATAGCAGCTGTATGAGATTAATTCTACATTCGGGTGAAACAGTCGGCGTATACGTTGTTGATAGTGTACCTGTGATGATAGAAACAGGTGATGCGTTGGTGCCTACTGTATGTGCTCTATGGAAAGTGCCTGACCTCCTACCGACCCTCATCATTCATTCTCCAGTGCTCCCTAAGGTATTTTTACTACTTAGCACAATCAGTTCCATTACTATGTATTTAAAAGTGTCCGATGTACAATAAATTAATGGATCCCACTCCCTTTTGTTGTTGATAATGCATTTATCAAACCAATGCCTCGCTTCTTCTTTTGTAATGTACATCAAAAGACTGGAATAATCTGTCAATATAAATTCTTCCAAATATAAACTGGGCTAGGCGTCTTCAAATTCAAATTCAAATTTATTTAATTGCCATAAATAGGGTAAGTGATAGGTTTTTTACAATAAAAATAAGTTGCTTAAAGACCTATTTAGCCATGAGATACGGCATGCAAATGTTTTTTTTTAAATTACCAAATAATATACGTGGTAGTCAATTCTAAAATGTCAAGTTATTAAATGTAAGTTATATAATTCAAAATGTCATAAGTTACTACATCAATATCATAATTAAAATTTAAATACACTCAATCAAAAATAAAGGTCTGATAAAACTGTGATACGCAGTGATACACAGCAATTACGTCTATCATATGTTAACATGCATATTATTATCATTTTGAAATTCTTTAACACTATAATAACATTTTCTTATTAGCCATTCACATAACTTTTTGGTCATGAGAATCATAGAGCCGTGTTTGAACTGCTTTGGAATTTTATTAAATATTTTTACACACATACAGTAACAACCTTTCTGATAGACAGAAGTTTTTGGTTTATGGTCTAAGACAAGCCGTTTACTATCTCTAGTGCTTCGTGGATATATATCACAAGCTGACTTAAATAACTCTGCATGTTGTTTGACAAATTTATATATTTTCAATATTTACACGCCAGGGACTGTTAATATACCCAGCTTAATAAATAGGGGCTTGCATGTGTCAAATGGACCTTTACCGCATATAGTATGTATACATTTTTTTTTGTGCGATGAGAACTCTATTTACTTCAACGCTGTTGCCCCACAGAACCAGACCATAATTAATATTAGACGTGACGTAACCATAATAAGCAGACATAGTTACGCTAAGAGTCGTTATCTTAGTTAAACACCTTAAGACGAAAGCAAACCTATTAATTTTATTACAAACTTTATCAATGTAGCCAGTGAAATTGAAGTTCTCGTTAAGTACTACACTCAAAAATGAGACCATGGTAGTTCTTTCAATAGGTATGTATTTGTACAGCACATTAAGTATATTTGCTGCTCATCCTTTTATGTTAAAATTTATGAAATTTGTCTTATTCAGATTTACATTTAGATTAATTAATTTAAGATATTGGACTATATTATTAATTGTCAATGCAATTGTATATAGACATTTACTATGATAAGAAAGTGAGATTTACTCTCTTGGTCTTCATCACAACTTACCATTAGGGGAAATCGTAGTCAAGCACTGGCTTAAAAAAACAAGGTGAAAAATTGGTTTAATTTCCCGAATGCTGCGTAGCCAAGTTGGATCTCTCGGTTAACCTCGTTTGAAAGCTTCTTAAGATTCAAAATGCTACCATCATAATAGGATTCTCCTGTATGCTGGAGGTAGTTTACATACATAAATTGCACAGTTAGAATATACACACACATCATGACCAATTATTTATAGGCTGTACAAACACTTGCTGTTACTACCAAACAATAAGTCACTTTTTGTGTAGTTGACTTAGGGACCTTCAAAAATAAAGCTAACTCTTTAAAAAACCTGCAATGTACATGAAATTGCCCTGTTGTTCATGAGCTGCGGGTGACACTTACCATCATGTGAACCGCATGCTTATTTGCTTCCTCTTCTATATATAAAAAAAACTTTCTTGCACACTGTCTTAGGTAAATTTACTCATCAACAACTTAGAGTGTAGTGCTCCTAACAACTACCAGCACAGGCATGACATACGAGTAGATGTTACATGGACAACCTTTGTCTTGTCCATGTTCATTTTAGGATGATTTTTTTTTTAAATTAACCCCTACACTAGAATTTTCTTCAGTATTGTGGAGGCAGTTTACACACATAAATTTCACAAAGACAAACATCCAAGGCCTGGAATAATTATTTGTAGGCCATACAAATGCTTGTTTCATGCGAGATATGAATCCGCAGCCCTCAGCACCGCAAGTCTTTGCTAGGCTACTGGGATAAGGAGCAATAAAAATTAAATTATTTGGATATAACAATGATTACATATATTCAAAAACATTCACATTAAAATTTAATAAACTATTTTATAAATTTATAACTGATAAAAGATTAGCAAATTAGTAAAAAGACCAGTAATAACATTTTATTTATTATAAATATTCATAGTCTTAATAATTTCTTAATGTTTGCAACCTCTACCAACTCATTTATTAGCTTGCAGGGGGTGCACCATTATATGCACCAGGGGTAACATTAGCAGATCCAGTAAAATTCCCACGCTTCTCCCGTGGGTCTCTTATTGCTGCCGCTACAGTTGACAATTGCGCTGTCGGCGCTGTGGGTCGTGCTGCTATTTCCTCTTCAGATCTGTTGAGGACTAATATGTAAGTACAGCCTGTTAGTTTTAAGTTATGGTTGTTTTTACTTTAAAGTATAAAATGTACATTAGGCAGATCTATTTTATTTTGCATTGTTAAGCATTGTGCTCATATTTGTTCTTGATAATTCAATCATCATTAATTTTAATATGTGATAGAACCATGCTGCAGCTATATTATTGTTGTAGCATGAATGGGTCGGCTCAACCAGGGAAGGACCATGCTTTCACAGAACACCAGCATAAAATGGCAGCATAATGCTGCTGAGTATCTTATGGTGAGTTTAGAGAAACCAAGACCCTTTTTACTGGAACAGGGCATCACACTGTACAACACATCAGCCTTTTGATTAATTATCGAGGGTAATCATAGATGTCTAGGTTCCACAGCATCCACTTATCATCAGATGGACTGTGTGCTCGTTTGTCACTCTAATTCTTTTTAAGATATTTTGAATTCTTTTTTTATAAAAAGATCAAAAAATATCTTATAAAATCTAGTTAATTTGATTAAAAAAAGATTTCAAAGGGGATGATGAATTATTTTGCTTTGTGTACTCCATCACATCACACCATCACATCTTTAGAACTCTTCTAGGGTTAGAGGTAGAGTAAAACAAAAAGTTATAGTGTATTAGGTAATCATTTTTTTATTGGGGTTGATATCCCAGATACTCCAGGTATTGTAACTCAAGTAAGACCTTGTACTCTATCTTTCATAAGCCAAACATATTTCCAGAGGTGTCTGCATGGAAACTTTACATGTATATGGAGACTTGCTTTGCAAAGAACCTAAGTTCACAAAGCTTGAGAGGCCAAAGTTTGATCCCCCCACCTATAATGACATTACTGACAACATTGCTATGGATATAGCCCAGGTAAGTCAAACCATGGTATATGAAACAGCCTTAAGTTTATATGTACTTAAAAAACTAAATAGTGTAAAAATTACAGTGTTGAATTACAGTGTTGAATGGCTCAGCGTTGTTATTCAAACTACTCAAATTATAACAATAATCAATTACTATTAAAGTTTACAAAACATTCCTTTACAAATTAGCAACTATGTGGAGGATAAGGATTTATGAAAGTAATTTTTAACTTTCCGTTATGAAAATCAATGATTTTCAAAAATTGTAAAGTTATTGGTTTCACCCCCATTTTCGAAAATTGAGGTTTCATTAAATCTCGACGTTTTGAGTTCCTAGGAAGCTATTCTAATTATTCCTACGAGGATGTCACTATGTCTGTATGTATATGTGTGTATGTATATGTGTGTATGTATGTAAACCTCATAACTTTTGAACGGCTTGACGGATTTGAACGAACTGGCGTGGCGTTAGAAAGAGTTTCACCAAACTCAGATTTTCAATACTGTTTCAATCGAATTGGACTGGTAGATTTTGAGAAATCTCAAAAACAAAATTTTCAAAAAATGTTATTTTGGAATAACTCCTCTAAGCAGATGTGTAACAACTAATTCCAAAATCTAATCAGCTCTTAAACATAGAAAACAACGTCGTTTGCTGCGGACTGCTTTAAAATCGGTTAATGCATTGAAGAGAAATGAATGACGAAAAATTTCGAAAAAGTGTCTTTTTCACATAACTTTTGAATTTATGGTCTAATAATTTTTTTATATTAGATTTTATTATTGTTCTTAAAATATCTCGTCGGATGCCACCAATTACATCAAAATCGGTTGATCCTTTCGAAAGTTATCGTTGTTTAAAAAATTCAAAGAAGTCTTTTTTTTAACGACTTCGAAATTTCTACTCGGATCGTTTTTGATGTAATGAGTTGACTAGTTCGTAAAAATAGCGGAAAGTTCTTGACATGGCCTGCAGGGTCAACCGTTTTTTAGATTATTATTCTTGTGATTGGGGCAGTATCCTCCTGATAAAAATTTAAAATAATAAAAAACTGCAGTTTCTAAACTGTCTGCTAAGTGTAACAACTGTGGTAAAAGGCAATTTGATTTGAGCAGTGGATTTTTTATGGACTGTAATGAATGGATAATGAACAAAAAATGTAATTAGAAAGAATGGTCGCCGTAGTCAAAAGCCTGGATAATGTTTCATCACCTTTGTCATCATGGCCTATCCAAACTCCGCTGCTGAACATAGGCTGGATATTTGCCATTATTGCAATGCTTGGCACATATTTTTGCAATTGCCTTTTTATTACATAAGATACTCAAACAACAGTAAATATATTAGTTTACATATAAATTAAACCGTGTAGTGGCGGTGTAAAGAATATTACTATATATGAAAGACAGTTGGCGCAATTTAACATCACATCAATCACGTAGTAGTAACGTAGTAATTACGCAAAAACGCTCAATAATAGTGTTGATTATCCAGCGATAGTTCAATTATTTAACTTTAAAGTGCCATCAAAACTGCCTAGGAAACCGCAAGCCTTTTTCAATGTATCTCTTTATAGATCTAACTTGGGAAAGTATTCCCCTCTAGCCAGACTGGCTCGCACTTATAAAGAACTGTCCTCGAAGATTTCTGGCCTCGATATTACTTGCGATAGTTTATCCACCTTCAAATCAAAATTAATCAATTTCTTTAAAAATAATGAATCAATTAATTAAAAAGTATAATATTGGAATTGTTTTTGTTTTCTATAATGTGGTTAATGTAATTTAATATGATAATGAAGTTATCTATAATATTGTTAAATAATCTATTTCTTTTTAATAATTTATTTATTCAATGATATAGTTCAAGTTTTTTCTTTTCTTATAATCCTTTCATTTACTAAATAATCAATGCATGTTGTGATTACCTATAAAAAGAAATACAATTATAATGTGCTTAATATGTTATGAAAATGATCTTTGTATTACTGTTGTAATTTCTGTTGGTAATCCTTAATAAATAAATAAATAATATATAATACACTAGTGCATATCGTCCCGTGGCTGTCGTAAGCGGCGACAGATGCAGAATGATACAGGTGATGGGCAGCAGCATCTTCCTGATAGCAACCCAAAATAATAGAAAACTGCGCTTGACAACCCGCTCGCAAACCGTGTCATCTATGGCAAAGTCTATGAGGCAATCTATAGGAGAGGCCTATGTTCAGCGGTGAACTTTCATAGGCGGTGATGATGATGATGACATAAAGGTTGTTTTTTATATGAGTTACATAAAATTTTATGCCATAGGCATCCATGTTGGTAACCACAATGTCTATTATTATTTATGCTGTAATCATTATTAATGCCGCTGCCCGTCTCCATTTTCAAATCTCCCTATGTCGCCTTTTACGACATCAACGGGTAGATATGGTAACCGCGTAATAAAATCAATTACTTTGTTTATCGTTTACCATCAATGACATATAAAAATATAAAACTTTAAAAATTGATTGTTTCCTAGCTAAGCATCCAACAACCAATTAAAGAGGAATGGCCCAGCTTAGTAAAAGTGGACATCAAACCGCCAGAAGAACCTACACCTTCCCCGGTTTTAAATGAACCAAGAATTATCCCAGAAGAAATACCAAATGTTGATGGCAATGAAGAATTGGATTTAGACGACACAGTTATCACAGGTAACTCTAGTTTAGTTACTGGCTTAATTTTAGTTAGTATTGTAGTATAACTGTTCCCATAATAGATTTGACATACATTATAATGATGTGTTCAGGGACAGTGTGTGATATTAGAGCATTTTTTATGTTTAACTTTGTTGTTTTTTCATAAATATTTTTTTAAACTAGAAATTTTTTAAAACTAAATATAATTGCCCAGTTATACTGCCACATACAGACATAGCCACAATCCTTCCTGTGTATATTGTTGTTAATAAAAAAATCGTTCCAGTTTTGGAGGAGGGAACTGGAAATTACGAGATGATTATTTAATCAATTTTTCGTAGGTATAACCAGTTCAAGCAGCATTGTTCCCATTTGGTGCTCTAGTTTAGCTGTTAAGGCACAACGCGATAACAATAGATCTTAAACATGTTAAAAATTAATTAGCTAAGACCTGCGTCAAAATAAATCATCATATAAATTACCTATCTCTCTCGCTCCCCCACAATTGTGTCATATTGAGATGATCCAAGGGCCATCACAGCGCACCGTAACCTGCTATCGTCGATATTACTAGATACGTGCTTTCATAATTTTAATATATTAACATAAGTCAAAGCCAAATCATAAAATAGCGACTTATCATGAAATGCTCAGGCAGATGCGATCTGTCCAATTCTAGACTGCCATCTATAGGAATTAATGATATATATCTGACTTTTCCTATAGTAGTTTCTTACGACACCCACGAGACGAAATTTGATAATACAGACTCTTCCACTTTACAAGAACACAACGCTTAAACTTATTATTTCATATTTAAGTAGGATAATGCAGAAAGTTATTATCAATGGTAAAAGTTCTTCCGGGTCGCCCATACAGATGGGTGTCCCTCAGGGCTCAATTCTTGGTCCATTACTATTTTTGGTGAATATTAATGACTTACCTGCCTTTTATATATAATATGTATATAATATAAACGTGATATAGTATTATTTGCTAATGATACTTCCTTGATTTTTAAACTTCAAAGTCAATCATTTGAATGTGATGAAGTGAATAATGCTATATCAAAATAAGTGCATTGGTTTAACATTAATAATCTACATTTAAACGGAAATAAACTAAATGTATTAAATTTACAACAACAAATGTTAAAAATCTAAATACCAATATGTTTTTAAATGGGGAAGAATTGAGCCCTGTTGAATCCTGTTTTTCTTGGCATCACTCTCGACGCAAACCTTCAGTGTGAACCCTATATCCAAACTAGAAATCTCACTAATATCGAGACATATAGATGAGTTTATTTCAGTTATTTCCATAGCATAATGTCATGGGATTTTGCATGGGGATTTGGAAACTATTTTTGTTTTGCAGAAGAGAGAGGGCCATTAGAGCTCTTTACAACCTAAACCCGAGAGAGTCTCTTAGAGAAAATTTAAAAAAAAATATATTAACTTTGGCGCCTCAGTATGTTTATGTAAATTTGATGTTTGTTCACAAAAACAAAGGTAGTTTTAGTAAAAAAAGTGATATACACTCTGTAAACACCAGGAACAAACACAAGCTAGTGCTACCAGTTTCTCGACTCCACAGAGTTAGTAATTCATTGTTGGGGCGATGTATACACTATTACAACAAGGTCCAAGTTCTCTCTATTACCAAGTTTGAATATTTAATTACACAAAAACTGTATAAACAGGGTTATTATGATATAAATGAATATATGGTTAATAATAACCCCTGGGAATGAGATGGTCTATTCCAAGCTATTTTTAAATTAATGTTTGTAAATAGTTTGTAACAATATTGCCATATTGTTAAATTTATTTTAAAAAAAGGTCCCGCTGGGTTTCTTTTTTGTTTCTTCCCAGAATAGAGGTCTTTTTCTAAATAGTGGTAAAGTAAAAAATAACTTTCAGTAAGAATATTATATATATATATATATTCTATTTCACAATTTATCTACAAAATTGATAACATTGTTACTTGACGAAAGTAGCTTAGCAATAGTTGCGTTAAGGGCCGTGGGTTCGTATCCCGCACGGAACAACATTTTTGACCTAGTGAAATGTATGTATGTAAACTGCCCCCACAATACAGGAGAACGTTTACTAGGGAGGTTACGATTAAAAAAAAACTGGATAAAATACTTAAAATTGTAACATTCTTACAGATACTTCACAAATTGAAGAAGATCCAATACCAACAGACATGGACGAGCTGCTCAAATGGTGTCTCCTGTCCTTTATTAAACTGGAAGGCAAGAATCTAGAACTGCCTCTCAAAACCAACCTGCTATATAAGTAAGTTTTATGTCCTTATATACATATTTACACTATTGTTTATACCTTAACATAAGGGTTCCAAATGACGAACTTAATAATGCCTCTAAGCATTCTCTCCCAGCCAACCCTGGGAGTGGTGAAATAATGTGACAGGTGAATTTTGTACATTTTACTACATATGTGGTAGAGCCATGCGGTTATGCTATTTTTTTATATAGGACAGGGTGACAAACGAGCACACAGTCCACCTGATGGTAAGTGGTTGCTGTGGCCCATAGATATTTACATCTGTCCTCGATTACGAATCAAAATGCAAATGCGTTGTCACCCGCGAGGATTAAGATGGAATGCCTCGTTTGTAGTAAAAAGGGTCTCCAGTTCTGTACACTCACCATACGAAACAGAGCAGCATTAAACTACTATTTTACGCTGGTTTTCTGTGAGAGCGTGGTCCTTCCCCGGTCGAGCCGACCGTGCTACAACTATACTGCTAATGTAGCTGCAGCAAAATAAATAAATGCCAGCCTAAAATAGCAGCTTTATGATGCTTTGTTTCATATGGTGAGTGTAGAGAACCGGAGACACTTTTTAATAGAAACGCATTCCATCTTAGTTACTTATGTTTATTCTTATCTTCCATCTGCATTTGCAGATGCGTTGTCACTCCTGAGCACTAAGACTTATTTATATTTTGATTGTTCTAAACTGAAGATAGATGAAAGATGTCTGTGGTATCCACTACCACCAGGTGTACTGCTCGGTGAATTTTATAATTAGTACTCGTTTTATTAAAATGTCTCAGTATATTGAACAATGAATACCTGCAACTAATTTGCAGGAATCATCTGATACCTCTGTGCCCTCCGGACCGGACTTTAGATGTAAAAAAGTCAAGTTACAAGAAAATGGGCAAATTCCTTGAGGCCATGCAAAAGGTAATCTTTATTTTCTGCTATCCAATGATTGGATTTTTTTTTACCGTGTAGTGGCTGTGTGAAGATATCCACTCGTCATTTCGTCATGCGGGTGTTGTAACAGAAGGAAGGAAACAAATCTTCCATATATTTTAACCCTGTATAGTGACACCGTTAGACAATGCACTATCCCATATCATCTCGTGGGTGTCGTAAGAACAGCATCTTCCTGAGAACAGAATAAAATACAAACATTTTTTTCCAATAAAAATTACATGTAAGTAATTTGAAAAGAATTTTTGAAAGTAATTTTTTTCACTTCTACTGGTTCGGCAGTTATCAAAGTGAAATTTTACAATAAAACACAGGTTGTACAAACTACTTGAAAGACTTATTTAAGAATCAGTTTGGAAGCGACCACCACCTCATTCCTAAGAATTATTTTGAACCATGTATTAATTTATGTTACAATAACCCTTATTATACAGTTTTTGCTTAGTAAAATAATTAAACTTAGTAATAAGGAGACCTTGTATAATAATAATAATATCTTTATTCGCGTAAAACATGGTATAAATGTTGTTAACATGTAAGAACGAGCACTCATGTTTTGCTTATTTTACATAGCATGCTAATATTTTAATTTTAAGTATTATAATGATTAATTAAATGTAAATTCTGAGCATCGTCAATTTCAATACTTAGTGAAAATTCGCGTAACTTAATTAAAGATATATTGTAACTATACTTTAACAATAATATTTAAATGTAAGTTTATATAATAAATATTATCCGATACATAATTACAAAATTAAATTTTTTGTTGTAATAGCCTATATGTTGCCTTATGAATGAATAACTAACTCTGTGGAGTGGAGAAACTGGTGTCACTAGGTTACGGAAAACAAAACAGAATTTAGAAAACAAATCAAAATAGAAGCTTGTAATACCAGTTACTAGACTCCACAGAATTAGTATTTCATTTATGGGGCAATGTAGGCAATGGGGCACGCAAAAATATACGCTTTTACATCAAAATTCGAGAATATGTACAAAATTTGTTATTAAACAAGTTTAAATGTTTTATTAAAGAAAAATTGTACTAAAAGTATTATTATAATATAAATGAATACATAAATGAAAATAACCCCTGGGAATGAGGTGATTGCCACCATTCTGGTTCTATAAAATTTCATTCTAAAATTGTAACAAAATAAATTTATTGTAAATTTAAATATAAAATCATTCATTTCATTTCATTTCAGAACAATAATATCCCACTTACCACTAGGTGTGATTGTATTCAAACATTGGCTTATAATTGCCAATCCCCCTCCTAAGTGAGACGACTACGGCAATTTTTAATTATTGTTTATGGTCCTATTGTTATAATTATTGTTTATGGTAAAAAAAGCTAATTAAAAAAAGCTGAAGGTACTCCGGGTTTAACAATGACATTGGGACGTCAGTCATCTCAGTCCCCCGTGACCATGGGTGCTGGAAAGTGCCCGAAACGTCGGGAATTAAAAATAAAAGTAATTAAAAGCAAAAATAAACGCGTTAAAATCCGTAAAAGTAGTTTTAATCAATGTGTAGTGTTCGCGTAAATATAAGAAATCATTAAGTTACGGAGAATTGAGCGTAACTTAGTGTGCAATGTATTAGTGCCGTAGTGCCCATTTATTAGCGTACATGGAAGTCTGATATGACATCTATCATGTCAATGGATACCTATTTCCGGTGTCATGGCATTGTGTGTTCAAGGAAGGCCTGCTAGAGGTGCGTGAGATCGAAAAGGGCGTGTCGGCGCTGGTGAGCATGGCCTGCGCGCACCCGTTGTTGCGGCAGCATCGTGCGCCCGTCCGCCCCGCCGCCCGCCCCACCGCGCCCGGCCCCGCCCCGCCTCAAGTACGGGACCTCTACTGCATCACCGCCAACGTTTCTGAACTCTTCGCACCGCTCAGGTAACTTTAAATCTACTTTTATTGAATAGAAATTTTGTACAGTTAGTATTAGGACAACTTAGACCTATCTTTACTGCATCACCGCCACCGTAGCTGAATTCTTCGCAGCATTTAGGTAATTTTAAAACTACTTTTATTGAAATTTTGTAAAATTAGTATTAGGACAACTTAGATCTCTACTGCATCACCATCAACGTTGCTGAATTCTTCGCACCGCTCAGGTAACTTTAAGACTGCTTTTATTGAAAGGGGAATGACAGGCTTATATGGGAGTTTCGTACCGCTCATATAATTTCGTGTTTTGGGATATTTTTATTTTTAATTGGTAGATAGTAGGATAGACAAACCCCTTTTAAATTCTTAGATTTTTATAACTTGGGAGATAAAAGTTATAACCAGTTTTAATGTTTAAGATTATCTACATGGACCATAGACTAATATCCATTCAGCTGCGGAGACTCTAACCGTAATACTCCGTTGACTGCGGAGCTGTTTAATAAAATGGACGGCTGATTGGGCCCAATAAGTTTAAATGCAAATATCTTGATTTTGGTATATCGAATATTATAATATGTATACATTTCTGAATTCTCTATGAAATTTTCTATAAACGAGTACATATATTTAATAGTTTTAAAGTAATTAGTATAACTAAATATTGAATAAAGTCAAAACTATCATATTTCTCAATGACACAAAGTTTTTTAATAGTTCAATTTTATTTTATTTTAATCTTATATCTATTGTTTACAATATTTTATGTGCAAAATCATAGGCTACAATACAATTTTTTATCGTAAAACGCATTAATAATAAGCTTACAAGAACCCACAATCAACTTACACCGATGTAGAATATAGTTCGGACCAGATGCGGCATAATGCGGCGTAATGCTTTAGTCAATAAAAATAGTTTTTTTTATTTCATTATAATGATTCAGTCTTGAACCTCTCTTTTTCTTTACATGATTCAGTCATCTTTCAATAGGTCTTGCTAAGTTTTAGAAATCTCATAAAGTATTTCATAAGTACTCCTAATGCCGATATCAAAATTTTTGTCGTAAGTGCCATATTTATTAAAAAATTAATTACTTTATTTGAGCAAACAAACTTTAACAGCACTTGTACAGAAATAAAGATTCATTCATTCCTTTAAAAACCATAAAACCACTCAAGGGTCACTCCCGCTGATGTAGAGTCATAAATAACGTTTTTTGTAAACAATACCCAATGCACCATAATATGTGTCGAGTGACAGAGGCGCCGCGAGGTGCTCAGCGGTTATGTTACATTTCCAATAACCAATAACATTATTTCTCCTAAAGGACATATTTTCTTTAACACAAATAATAGCTACGAAATAATAAAATTTAAAATAAATATATCTCTTCCTGAAATAAAAAAAATATTAATTATGTATATTTTTAAAGAACCCACTTCTTATGCATTATACAAAAATATGCCACAATTAAAGTCCGATTCTGCACTTTTTTGTGCATCATGTACTAGTCTATTAAAACATTTTTATACGTGTTAGAGCCATGCTGCAGTTATATTTGTAGTATAGTTGTAGCACGAATAGGCCGGCTCGACCGGGGAAGGACCACGCTCTCACCGAATACCACCGTGAAATAATAGCTTAATCCTTCTGTGTTTTATGGTGAGTGTAGAGAACCGGAGAGCCTTTTTACTGGCAACGAGGCTTTCCATCTTAGATGTCACGGGTGACATGCATGTGCATTTTGATTTGTAATCGAGGATAGATGTAGATATCTATGGGCCGCAGCAACCACCACAGGTGGACTGCGTGCTCTTTTGTCACCCTATCCTATAGGTGTATTCATTTCAAAGATGAGAGACGTGGTGGCTCAGAAGAGCCGTGTTAGCTCAGATGGTTAGCTCTCGCTGTAAATTTCACAGTACGCTAGCAAGCCGGGTTTGATCCCCGCTAGCAATAATGAAATTGTTAATTGCAATTTTAAGTGCTGATCTACCACGTGCTCGTCGGTGAAGAAAGACATTGTGAGGAAACCTGCACGTCTGTGAAATAAGAAAAAAAAATATTTCGAAGACATGTGAAATTCACCAACACGCATCGAGGCAGCGCGGCGGAAACTTCTTTGCCCTAAAACCCTCTGAGAAATAAGGGAATGCCTTTGCCCAGCTGTGGGGCGTAAAAAGACTGTAACTTAACTAACTTAAGTATTCATTTCGACAATGAGATAGCCCTGGTAGCTCAGATTGTTAGCTCTCGCGTTAAATTTCACAGTACGCTAGCACACCGGGTTCCATCAATGAAATTATTAATTGCAATTTTAAGTGCTGATTTACCTCTTGCTCGGCGGTGAAGAAAAACATCATGAGGAACTCTGACTGTCTGAGAAATAAAAAAAATTTCCAAGGCATGTGCAGTTCGCCAACACTCATGTGGGCAGCGCGGCGGAAACTTCTTTGCCCTAAAACCTTTTCAGAAGTGAGGGAAGGCCCAGCAGTGGGACGGAAATAGGCTGTGTAACTTAACTAACTTAACAATTTCGACGATGATAGTCTGAAATAATTAGCTGAACAAATTATAGCTAGGCAACAATAAAAACTAAATCGATGGATGGACATAAGTATAAAATTGAATAAATATATAACATAGGTACTCATTTCTGTAAAAGGCTCCTGGTACTTGTTGGATTTACTGTATCTACAGTACAATTCATTTACGAATGGTACTGTAGGTAGCAGCAATCTTGCTCTAGGTTGAAACATAACGCAACGTTACACGATTTGCAAAGTACATACAGATAAAATGTACACTAAAAAAAAACAAAATAAGAAATATGTGTCTGAGGTGACCTTAAAAATCACTCAACATATTAAATTAAAAAAATAAAAATTCCAAATATTAAATAATATTAAAAAATATTAAAATAAAAATATTAAAAAGCATATTATGTAAATACTTTCTAATTTTCTGATTTAATAAATTGTTTAAAAAATTCCGAAGTCTTGTGTTAACATACATGACATATCCAAATGCCACATTCAATTTTTCATAAATCATCGAATAATCGTGGAGTCAACCAAGCTCCATTTCTCTGCTCGAGGGCGCTAGATTATTTACCATTCTAACCATTCAACTGAATTTGAACTTGATGCAGTATGGCAAACTTTAGTTCCTTTTTTTCGCCACCCGCAAAACAGAGAACTAGAATTCACTACTGCGGACGTCACAAAAATGGACACTATTGCACCTATTGCGTATTTACATTAAAATTTTGAAAATATTGCACTTTATCCTCATTTTAATGTACTAAAACTGTAAACGATGAACAATTACACATATTTTAACACAAAACTGACAGTCAAAACTAAAATTTTACGTACATTTCAAGTCAACTTTCCTCAACCAGCAAGTTAGTTCTAAGATAGCAGTTTGCTTCATACATATCAAAAAACGATTTTACACGTACTTATTAAGATAAAACACAAAATGAGATTACAAACAAGAAGGTTACTTACCCAGGCATTGTTTTAATACAATTCACCACACAATAAATATAAATTAATACAAAATAATTACAAACATCTTCGTTGTTAGCGCGCGTCAATCACACTAATGGCTGACTCAATGAACGGACGACATTTAAGAATGATTTAAATAAAATATACTAATAAAGTGTATAAGCTGTGGGGGTTTTTATGCTAGCCTTTTTTATCCTGTACACATTGACATATGGTAGAATGAGTTAGAAATAGCGCATCATGCTTTGTTTCTTTATTAAAAGAGCGGGCAAAAAAATGTCTAACACTTGGACACCCGCAGTCAACGGAGATATTTTCGTGTCCAAGTCTTGGACATCCGCAGTTGAGAGGATATATAATATTATGAACGTAGACAGAGAAACCTATAGACAAAGTGACGCTTTCTTTCGCATTCACACACGAAAAAGAAAGATTTATGCATACGTCTTGCATAGAAATGAGACAGAGCGGTGTGATTGTTTGTCCCGTTCTTCGTCCTGGTTTTTTTGTTTAGCAAACTACACTTTGCTAAACAATTTTGACAGTTCGTAGCGATCTAAGGAGTTTACAAGTTGTTTCAAGTGAGAAAAAAAAAGTGTTTTGTGAGCTTAAGATTGGTGAATCTTGTTCAGTTCAGTTCTTAGAACAATTAAAACTTCTATCTAATTATGTTTAAAAGTCATAAAGATAATTGTATAACCTAAAACTACGTTATATTCCTTTCTCACTCGAGGCCACGCTAATCATTAGTCTATAGGTTTCTCTGTCTACGATTATAACTAGTGTTAAATTTTTTTTTTATTTAACTTGCTTTACGTTCTAGACCTTCTGAGCCTATCATTTCTTTCGTAATCTTCGTTTTTGTATATTTTTTTCATCACAATATGCTGATACGTCACAGTTTTATAGGGAGATTATATCAACATCAAACCACTTGTTTTCTCTAATAGTTCACACGCGCAGACAATTCACAAAATCGCATCACTTTTACAAATCAAAATCTTCTTCAAACCATTATTCAAGCAACAAAACAGGAGCGACAAATTGTCCAACAATCCGTCGACGGCCAAAACCTCTCCTAGTGTACCTATGTTACATATAGGCAAATAAACATTGTTTTTGTGATAAAGTAAATATTCTATATTGCTTTTCGCTACTCTGTAGTGCTTTACTAACCGTTATTTTTTTTTATAGTACAAGGTGACAATCGAACAGGCAGTCCACCTGACGGTTAGTGGATGCTGTGGCCCATGGACATCTACATTTATTATCCTCGATTTAGAATCAAAATTCAGATGCGTTGTCACCTTTGAAGACTAGGATCGAATGCCTCGTTTCCAGAAAAAAAAGGTCTTCAGATCTCTACACTCACCATACGAAACACAGCAGTATTAAACTGCTATTTTACACTGGTATTCTGTGAGAGCGTGGTTCTTCCCCGGTCGAGCAGTCATTCGTGCTACAGCTATATTATAGCTACAGCGTGGTTCTACCATTAAGTAGGTAGATTGAGATGAGGATCGGTATCTACTCAGTGTTGTGAATTAGGAGATATGTACCTATATTCAGCAGCGGACTGCAACATTTTATAATGATAAAGTTCTGATGGAGTTTTGAGTGTTAAGTAAAGTAAAGTAAAGTTACAGCCTATATACGTCCCACTGCTGGGCTCAGGCCTCCCCTCATTTCTGAGAGGGTTTAGGGCAAGGAAGTGTCCGCCGCGCTTCCCAAATGCGTGTTGATGAAATCCACATGTCTTCGAAATATTTTTTTTTTCTTATTCCTCAGACATGCAGGTTTCCTCACGATGTTTTCCTTCACCGCCGAGCACGTGGTAAATCAGCACTTAAAATTGCAATTAACAATTTCATTGGTGCCGGTCGAACCCGGGTTACTCGCGTTCTGTTATATTTACAGCGAGCGTTAACCACTGAGCTATCACGGCTTGAGTGTAGGTAAATAAAAAAATATTTTGTTTTTTAAGTTCATTTATTTTATTTTACTTATAATTAATGAATTCTTAATAAAACTTCATCTAAGAAGAGGCAGGCCGGGTAATACCCTCATGGCGAGCATGGCTTAGGTACCAAATAATACTCATAACATGTGAGTAGCATAATGATTTCTTATATTTACACGAACACTACACATTGAAATAATACTAGTTTTTACGGAATTTATTCGAACGCTTTACAGCACTCATGATCACGGGCGGGACTCAGAATGTGAGTAGCATCCCACTGCTCTTAAACCTACAATGCAGTTACAGCAATAACTTATGATTGCGTCCCGCTAGGTGTTAGGTGTTAGGTGTAAGTTAGGTGATTTCCTTTTTCGATGTTATACTGCTATACAAACTGTCTGAAGGCCACTCAACAATATACGCCAAATCATTTTGTAGTATTTCATCTTCTATGTTTCTATTAATATTATTATTTCTATTATAGTGCTTAAGTCTGTAAAAAGAAAACATTGCTGTAAACTCGGTAAATAAGCATAATTTTGACAAAAAATGTATTTGTAAATAGTAAGAAAGTAACCTCTGAATTAACTGTTCTTTCAACCAACTTAATTTTGCACCTCTTTTTCTTAGCTCCGCTTTTAAAGCACTGACATTCATTGACCCGTAACTCATATTGGCCATAATTAATCTCAGGAACTGCAATATATTCACAATATTATTCTAAAAGAAATAAACACGCGTAGCCCACCTACTACTAACAGCGACATTTGACATATCGGATACCTCACTCTACACTAGCGGTAGCGCCTCTAGCGGCGAATTATGCTTATGTTACGTTTATTTATTAATTTTTTCATTGTTATTATTAACTAATCCCAAGTTCTAAACTATAAAATTTACATGAAAATTAATGGCTTAGTTGCCTTAATATCTGGTATTAATTCTATAACAAAACAACGAGAAAAGTATGCGGTACTAAATCTGCCGTTCCCCTTTGTAAAATTACTATTAGGACAACTTAGACCTCTAGTACATCACCGTCAACGTAGCTGAATTTTCCGCACTGCTCGGTCAGTAACTTTAAAACAACTTTTATTAAAATTTTGTAAAATTAATATTAGGACAACTTTGACCTGTACTGGACTTTTTTTTCAATCCTGGTTTAGGAAAGGCACAGCTCTAGCGGCGGCAGATGTTCGGTCTACTCTTACCGAATATGTGAAGACGAGAGGACTTAACAGCACACAGCAGCGAGGAGCCGTTGCGCTGGACCCACTGCTGGCAAAGATTACTGGGCAACAGGAACAGGTAACACTGTAAACTGAGTATATGACTGTCTTTTTTCATCATTATCATAACAGCACTTCACAAGTCCACTGCTGCACAAAGGCTTTAGTCAAGGAATGCCACAAAGCACGGCCTTGAGCCACCTGCATCCATCGATTTCCTGCATTTCTTACCAGTTTGTCACTCCATCTAGTTAGGGGCCGCTTGACACTTGGCTTACCGGTATAAGGCTGCCACTCGAGAACCTTTCTCCCCCATCGGATGTCGATTATTCGAGCTATATGGCCGGCTTATTGCGACTCCATCCAATCCATCGATTACTTTGGTCTTACTGCGGATATCTGCGACCTTGAGCTTGCTCATGCGGCCAGCAGTAAGGCCCGCATCTCAGATCCATATGTAATCACCGGCAACACGCACTGGTTGTACAATCTTGTTTGAGTTTTGTTATATACCCGACGAGAAGACAGTCCCGCACCTAATCGAATAATTTGTCCTGGGTAAACATACTCGTCGACAACTTCGAGCGAAGTGCTCACCACCTACTAGTATAGGTGTGACATGGACATTACACATGACCTTTTTTATCTGTGTTTATTTAAAACCTATCTGTTTAGAGACACTATTGAGAAGTCAACATAATGAAGAGTTAAAAGTCCATTTGGCACGATCCTGACACATCTCTCGCCTCCTCCACATCCATATATGTTGAGAATTGATCAATTGACAGCTGACCTGACCTGACCCAACTTTGATTCTATCCTCCTTCACACTTTACTTTCGTTTTATATAGAGTCAAGTTGGCAATAATGTATTCTCATATTTTGTGTAATTAAGTTGGCAAGCCTACTTTTTGATAACTTCATGCGACAAAGCCATATATTACTCTACTCTATTGAAAAAGCGAAACTTGATGGCGAAAGGCAAACGTGCTCCAAATTGTAATTCTGAAAATTGTAAAGTATTGAACAATCCGTTGATTGTTTGTCAAGAGTTTTGTTCAACAAAACAAGTTCATTTTGTATCAATTTAAGCTGTAATTTTGCACTCAAAATTAGTCGCCACGTGCTAAACTTTGTTAATACATTTCTTTCACAGAACATGTAATAATTGTAAATAAACGAACAAATTGCTTTTGTATAAAGTCTTGAATATTTCTCTTTATTAAAATTGTAAAAGTTAGATACTGATTCAATTGTATATTGACAGGTACCTTTTGAAACTCTGCTGAATAAAAGAACATTTGTCAACAAAGAACCCAAATCCACTAAATTCACAACAATATACCTACACATACATGCTTGCCGGTTAAGGGTAGTCCTAATTTAGCCCATTTTCAATATATCGCCAATTTGGTCGATAAACTTTCGCCTAGGACGTCCCATTCCGACTCTGCCATTCACTTCTGCAACATGAATTTGCTTTGTCACTCTTTCCTTCTTCATTCTTTTTACATGAACAAACCACCGAATCATTAATTTCTAAATCCTGGTGACAATATCATTTTGCAAACCACACTCTTCTCTTATCACACAATTTCTCACCCTGACACTCAGATTTAGCCCTAACATACATTTTTTTGCGAACCTCTTGTTTTTTTAGAGTCGGGTAATAATTGAGCTCATGTCTTTACACAGTTGACTGTGGAGAAGAGATAATCAAGATGTGTTTTCTTACCAGGAAACCATAAAATGGGAGGGACTTATGACTGCTGTCTTGAACAAAATGACTCCCAGCACAGAGCTGCAGTTTTCTGATGGAACTGTTAAAATTATCAAAAGCAAGCTCGAGCCAATCAAAATGCAAGTTGCTACCAGGAGCGGGAACAAGAAGGTAATATGCTTTCAGCTGGTTGGCCAACAATCGGTGACTATCGTTTGTATAGGAATTTGTTGCTATCTTTTTTATATATAATTATTCTATCCATGTGTATGTGACTGAACCGGCTGGACTGAATTTGATGAATTTTGTATGTGATTAAGTTGATTCGAGAATGGTTTATGTTCATAATATTTTTTTAAACGTTACCTCGACATTTGGATTTTCTTGTGTATCTTTGGGGGCACTTTTTAGAGTTGCGTAGCCAAATAGCAAAAAACGGAACCCTTATGGATCCGTCATGTCTGTCTGTCTGTTTGTCCGTCCGTATGTCACAGTCACTTTTTTCCGAAACTATAAGAAGTATGCTGTTGAAACTTGGTAAGTGGACATATTCTGTGACTCGCATTAAGATTTTCACACAAAAGTAGAAAGAAAAAAACAATAAATTTTGGGGGTTCCCCATACTTAGAACTGTAACTCAAAAATGTTTTTTCATCAAACCTATACGTGTGGGGTATCCTATATTCAAAAATGATATTGAGGTTTCTAATATCATTTTTTTCTAAAATGAATAGTTTGCGCGAGAAAGACTTCCAAAGTGGTAAAATGTGTCCTCTTGTAACTTCTAAAATAAGAGAATGATAAAACTAAAAAAGTATATTATGTACACTACCATGTAAACTTCCACCGAAAATTTGTTTGAACGAGATCTAGTAAGTAGTTTTTTTACACGTCATAAATCCTAAACCGCAATTTACCTTTCATTCAATCAAATCTAAAAATAAAAAAAAAAACATTTAATTTCATAAACATTAACCTTATACATAAACCGTGAACCATTATTTTCTAATAATAAATCTTTTTTTTTCTTTTTTATTCAATGTAAATTATAAACAATACTTATTGAAAGTCAATTTTTTCATTTACCACTTTAAAAGGTGCCTAAGTAAAAACTAATTATAATTCGCGCGGGGCGAGTGCGGAGCGCGCGGGGGGAAGGTTCCCGACTGCGCTTACCCGACCGGGCAGACTAGCTTGCTACATATCTATTTATCTATGGGGCAGACACGTGAGGCCAGACGTCGTTCACTAATTTTTTAATTCTCTAAATATTGTACGTTTACGATTTGATATTGTTGTCGTTGGATAAAATTAATTTCAAATACATCGAAATTATTCTGTTAAACTCATTTACTGTCTAGAAATGTGTAAAATATGTAAAACTTGCACTTGGCCGCTATTTAGTAGTATACTTTTAGCACGAATGGGTCAGCTCGACCGGGGCAGGACCACGCTCTCACAGAAGATAGCGTAAAATAGTACCTTATATCTGCTGTGTTTCATATGGTGAGTGTGGAGAACCGGAGACCCTTTTTACTACAAACGAGGCATTCCATCTTAGTCCTCGCGGGTGACAACGCATTTGCATTTTGATTCGTAATCGGGGATAGATGTAAATATCTATGGGCCACAGCAACCACTTACCATCTGGTGGACTGTGTGCTCGTTTGTCACCCTGTCCTATATAAAAAATAGCATAACCGCATGGCTCTACCACATATGTAGTAAAATGTACAAAATTCACCTGTCACATTATTTCACCACGCCCAGGGTTGGCTGGGAGAGAATGCTTAGAAGGCATTATTAAGTTCGTCATTTGGAACCCTTACCTTAAGGTATAAACAATAGTGTAAATATGTATATAAGGACATAAAACTTACTTATATAGCAGGTTGGTTTTGAGAGGCAGTTCTAGATTCTTGCCTTCCAGTTTAATAAAGGACAGGAGACACCATTTGAGCAGCTCGTCCATGTCTGTTGGTATTGGATCTTCTTCAATTTGTGAAGTATCTGTAAGAATGTTACAATTTTAAGTATTTTATCCAGTTTTTTTTAATCGTAACCTCCCTAGTAAACGTTCTCCTGTATTGTGGGGGCAGTTTACATACATACATTTCACTAGGTCAAAAATGTTGTTCCGTGCGGGATACGAACCCACGGCCCTTAACGCAACTCATTGCTAAGCTACTTTGCCGTCAAGGTAACAATGTTATCATTTTTGTAGATAAATTGTGAAATAGAATATATATATATATATATATATATATATATATATATATATATATATATATATATATATATATATATATATAGAACCAAAAAGAAACCCAACGGGACCTTCTTTTAAAATAAATTTAACAATATGGCAATATTGTTACAAACTATTTACAAAAATTAATTTAAAAACAGCTTGGAATAGACCATCTCATTCCCAGGGGTTATTATTAACCATATATTCATTTATATCATAATAACCCTTTTTATACAGTTTTTGTGTAATTAAATATTCAAACTTGGTAATAGAGAGAACTTGTACATACTGGACCTTGTAATAGTGTATACATCGCCCCAACAATGAATTACTAACTCTGTGGAGTCGAGAAACTGGTAGCACTAGCTTGTGTTTGTTCCTGGTGTTTACAGAGTGTATATCACTTTTTTTACTAAAACTACCTTTGTTTTTGTGAACAAACATTAAATTTTCATAAATATACTGAGAGGCCAAAGTTAATATATTTATTTCTTTAAAATTTTCTCTAAGACTCTCTCAGTTTAGGTTGTAAAGAGTTCTAATGGCCCTCTCTCTTCTGCAAAACAAAAATAGTTTCGAAATCCCCATGCAAAATTCCATATGACATTATGCTATGGAAATAACTGAAATAAACTAATCTAGATGTCTCGATATTAGTGAGATTTCTAATCTTTTTACAGCATAAGCTACAGAGCTTATTCTGCTTGCTAGTTTGGATATAGGGTTCACACTGAAGGTTTGCGTCGAGAGTGATGCCAAGAAAAACAGGATTCAACAGGGCTCAGTTCTTCCCCATTTAAAAACATATTGGTATTTAGATTTTTAACATTTGTTGTTGTAAATTTAATACATTTAGTTTTATTTTCGTTTAAATGTAGATTATTGACGATAAACCAATGCACTTATTTTGATATGACATTATTCACTTCATCACATTCAAATGATTGACTTTGAAGTTTTAAAATCAACAACGTAGAAATCTCCAGTGTGTCGACACGGGTAGCATACCTTGTATTTAAGTTATCAAAGAAATATTCTCTGAAGATCGTACGTAAGTTTATGCCCCAACCTCGGCACATTCGGATGATGAAGTTGAAATTGTTTATGAAGACATTTCTAGGGCCTTACGTAACACCACTAAGGCCCACTACAATGTTGTTATGGGGGATTTAATGCCAAATTGACTGGCGGTACGTCGAAGTGCTGACATGCCTTTACAATACCAGTATGATGACCGTCCAAATACAGGACAGTCAAACAAAACCAATCCATTTGCATCGCGGAGTGAGACAGGTCATTGTTATATCTCCTAAACTGTTTACAAATGCACTGGAAGATGTTTTTAAGACGCTCGACTGGAAAGGACGCGGCATTAACGTAAACGATGAGTACATCTCACTGTTACGCTTTGCTCATGATATCGTCGTCAGTTCAGAATCGCTGCAGGAACTTCAGGAGATGCTGAACAGAAAGTTTTTATTCAATGTAGATTATAACAATACTTATTGAAAGTCACTTTTTTCATTTACCACTGGTTCGCAAAAAAACCTCTGTCCTGGGAAGAACCAGCAAGAAACCCAGCGGGACTATTTTTTTTCCAATATAATACCTTATAGTCATGTTTACAATTAACAACACAAGACAAATTAGAAATAGCTTGGTAGCGATCACCCTTCCCAGGGGTTATTATCATCCATAAATTCCTCAATATTATAATAACCCTTTCTATGCAAACTTAGTTTAATAACATTTTTGAACTTTGTGTATGACAATATTTTGTATATTTTCTGGGATTTTGTTGTAAAAGCGTATACATCGCCCCAAGAATGAATTACTGGTTAGCTAGAGTCGAGTAACTGGTACTACTAGCTTGTGTCTGTTCCTAGTATTTACAGAATGAATATCACTTATTTTCGCAAAACTACTTTAATTTTTGTGTACGTACATTACATTTTCATAAATGTATTGAGAGGCCAGAGTTAACATATTAATTTCCTTAAATTTTTGTCTCAGTGACTCTTTTGGTTTTAATATATTGCTCTAATGGCTCTCTTCTGTAAAATAAATATAATTTCAGTGTCAGTCGCGTGTCCCCATAGCAAAATACCATACGACATAATGCTATGGAAACAACTAAAGTAAACTATTCTAGCTGTTTCAACACTGGTAAGAGTTCTAATCGTTTTTACAGCATATGCTGCAGAACTAAGTCTGCTAGCTAGTTTTGATATATGGGGGAGCCATTGAAGTTTTGCGTTTAGTGTGATTCCAAGAAAAATGGTGGTATCAACTTGACTCAGTTCCTCCCCATTTAAAATTAAATTGGTATTGACATGTTTAACATTAGGAGTTAGACTATATGAATCCTCCCAAGGTATGTGCATGAATCTGAATAAGACAAAAGTTATGTTCAACGATCACATGAAATTCTCGAAGTTGTCCGGGAATATACCTACCTCGGGCAGATATTGCACCTAGGCAAGAATAACTTGGAGAAGGAAGCCGATCGGAGGATACAGTTAGGCTGGGCAGCATTTAGAAAGCTCCGTCGGGTTTTCTCGTCGCCCATACTGCAAAGACTGAAGACAAAACTCTTCAATCAGTGCGTTCTGCCCGTACTCACTTATGGTGCCGAAACGTGGACACTGACGATACACCTGCTCCAAAAGCTCAAAGTCGCTCAGCGAGCAATGGAAAGAGCTATGCTCGGAGTTTCTCTGGTAGACAACGGTCGAAATGAAGAAATCCGCCGGAGAACCAAGGTTATTGACATAGCTTTTCGTGTTTGTAAGCTGAAGTGGCAATGGGCTGGTCATGTCTGTCGCAGAAGTGACAACCGGTGGAGTAGATGTGTTATGAAGTTGAGACCGCGTCTAGGCAAACGTAGTGTGGGACGCTCCCTGGCCAGATGGAGCGACGATCTGCGCAAGGTGGCTGGTAGAAACTGGATGCGTGTGGCCGAAGATCGGGCTAAGTGGCGCGCCTTGGGAGAGGCCTATGTCCAGCAGTGGACTGCCGCAGGCTGATGTTGATGTATTACTATATGTGATAGAGCCATGCTGCAGCTATACTATAATTGTATCACGAGTGAGTCAGTTTGACTGGGGAAGGAATATGCTCTCTTTTAATTGAAAATATATGTAGATGTCTGGGCCAAGCATCCACTCACCATCAGACTGTGTGCTTGTTTGTCACCCATCTTTATTAAAAAAAAGAATGTTAAGCACCTCGGTCCCTCATGACCTGGGTGCATTCAAAATGTCTGTTTATGTAATGAAATTTAGTATGTAGTTGGTTTTAAAAATATTTATATATTCATTAGGTAACACTAGTATCAAACCTAGAAGCATATGGCTTCAACCTACTAGAAATGGCGCGAGTGTGCCAGCATGGTGTGGCTGCATCGTGCGGGGTCACAAGAACCCCTGGAGCAAAGTGTGACCAACTGATGGTGCAGGGTGATCAGGTAAATACAATAACTGACTTAATATTGGTAGAGCCACTCTGCAGCTATATTATGGTTGTAGCTCATATGAGTTGGCTCAACTGGGGTAAAACCACGCTGTGTTTTGTATGGTCAGTGTATAAAACCGGAGACCCTTTTTACTGGAAACAAGGCATCCTATGTTAGTCCTCAGGGGTCACAACGCATCTGCATTTTGATTACTTAATCGAAGTCTTACAGGCTACAGCATCCACTTACCATAAGATTAACTGTGTGCTTGTTTGTCACTCTTATTCTATAAAAAAAATTAAAACAACAAAAATATAATTGTAGCGCATTATGAACACTAACAGTCCAAAGTCTTCCCTGGTATACTAGGCATATGCTGAGCACATTCCATGAACATATTTAGTAATATAATATTTTATTTAATAATATGCTATTAATTTGAATTGATCTTTTCTTGTAGCTATTTGTTATAAATAGACCATCTTATACAATGCAAAAAATATAATTTTTTACATTATAAAAATATATATAAAACTACTTTTCCTTTTATCTATTTGTAATACCTCACCTAGAAACTGGTTTTAATATCTAAATTTCTCTTACAGACACACTTCATTGCCAAACTGCTGATTGAGAAGTATGGACTGCCCAAGAAATATCTTGAAGGTGCCGATAAAGCTTTAAATAAGAAAAAGTGATGAAATATTGTTTAATGGACATTTACTAAAATATGTGATATTCACTCTAAGAGTGCTTGATATTCAATAAAACAATTATGTTGTATAAAAAACTATGTATTAATCACATATCCCTTAAATCTATTAAAATGATTCTCTGCGAAATTAATTCAAATACAATTTGATATAATGATAATATTATCTAATTTAATCAATTACAAATATATGGCCACTATTACACAAATACTATGTTTTATTTTAGAAATACAATATTTGTAGCAAAATTGCACACACAACATTAAAATACATATTGGTACATAAAATATACACCTCATAATTTTTATCAATTGAACAATTTAAACAGTAATATGGAAGACAAAAATTACAATAGAAATATTTAGTTTTTCTTAAATCCATAGTACTTAATCTATATGTTACACACATAATTCAAATTATTATTTACAAAATTAAATACAACTATTTCATTTCACAAAATAAACTTTACGATTTACAATTCTATAATTTTTCTACACTAGGTTTAGGGTGGGTTGATGTCCGTTTTTAATATTATATACAAAAAAAAATCATTAGCAGACAATTTTTGTCCAAATTGTATTAAATACTAAGTCTTAAAAATTAAATAACAAAGCAAAACCACAACCACAAAGTATTACAGCAAATATAAAAAATAAAAAACATTATTATCCACTTGGTGATTTTAAATGAATTCTATGACTTCAATGAATAGACTAAGTTTGACATTAAAGGGGTAATAAAATTTGAGAGAGATCATTTAATACCTAATGTTAAAGTAAATTTTTTTAAACCTTAGTTGATGATTTAAACTTAAAAGGAGTTTTAAAATGTATCAGAGACTTCCTGCTCTTAGTTTTCTTTAATTCTGGAGGGGCAATAGGAGTTTGGGGAAAGCACTGCCTCACACTGGAGCGAGTTCTATCAGAAACATATCCCTCACTCACCTTGCCGCTGCTAGAATCCATACTCCAGTGACTCCTGGCTGACATCATGGAGCACCTAGAATTTATTGAACTTCCGGATGTTATACTGCTCTTCGATGGCGTTTTTCTTAAGCTGTCATGATTTGTTATGTCCCCAAACACTTTAGCCTGCTTAGATGGTGATGAGTGGGTCCATTGGGTAGCCGCTCTCTTCTCTGTTATAACATTTTCAAGATCCAAGTACTTGAATTTTGTAATATCCTTCACAGTTTTCTCATTCTGTGTTGAACTTTGGTTTTCTCCATTATCCAAATTGTCCAACTCATAAAATGTTAATGTTATACTCTCGTCAATTCCAATGAAAGGGTTAGCAGGTGTGAAGTGCACTTTTTTCGAAGGCATATCAGGAAATATATTGCGACGCGGCATATTCTCTGTGGTGAACTTTGTAGCTGTGACTATGATACTCCCATCCCCAGTGTCAGCTGATAACGAGCTGTCTAAATCCTCATAGCTGTAGCTTTGTCTACGAGCCCTAGCTCGCACTGAGTCTGGACGGCGACGACGACGACGTGATTTCCAACGGTTCTTCTCAGCACTAACGATAACTGGAGGCAATGTTACACCATTGCTTTCACAAATATCTGAATCCTCATTGGAAACAAGCTTCGTGGCAGGACTGTTTACAATTTCTTTTACAACAAGCTCCCTCTCTTTTTTATTCAGTGATTCTTCTCTTTCTCTCAAAGCTATTAGTCGAGACATCCACAGGTGACTTAATGTCTCCTCTGATACTCTTTGAGCATTGTTGTATATGCCTATTACCTTGCTGTAAGGTTTTCTACAGCGAGGTACATACCCTGGCAGTTCTAAAGCCAAAGCTTGCAGTGACGGTGACAAGGAACCTTTTTCTAAGTTAGAACCTTCTATTTCTTTATTCAATTTCTGCTTTGGGATATTTGAATATACTGGACTGTCTACAATGTTAAACTGGGTCCTTGGTAATGGTTTGATAGTTCTACACTTCTCCACAAACTTTTCAGAATCACATTTGTTTAATTCTGATTTCTGATGAGAGTACTCACTTGACACCAGAATTTCAGTCAAATGTTTCGGCTTAGAATTGATTTCTAGGTTTGATAAGATTGTTGGATGGTAAATAACCACTTCGGGTCGCAAACCGGAGCTTCTTTCATCAGTAAGGAAAGAGACAACATCTCTAAGATCATCACTGTAGAGGAACTCTGTCTCTTTAATTTTATTTCCACCAGTTTCTGGACGATAGCACAGCGTATGTATCACGTCCCCAATCTGGTGCATGAGGTCTGATGATCCCGTAATTGTCGTTTGCAACTGGAAACAATCTATGCACACTTCTCCGCTTCCGTCTACGTAAATAGTGGTAGGCATTATGCATTTCCGTATAACTGCGAAGTTTAAACTTTCTACAACCTTACAAGCTCGTGCGAGCTCAAGAAGCAAATACCATATGAAACTCTCTGAGAAATACTTATCGGTGGCCTTGCAAACGCTGATCAGTTCCTGTACACTTTGCCAGGAGTTGTATTCGAGAACAAAGTACAGAGTCTTGGACGAGTTATGGAGAATTGTATCGTAGTAGCGTAGCAAGTTGCCAGATAACACTTTACTTATTGTTTTCACTTCATTAACGATATTTTGTATTTCTTCATCGGAGTACGCGGTGCAATCGTAAGCCTTCCACGCAAATATGTTGTTGGTGACCTTGTGTTTAACTTTGTAGAATGTGCCGTCGCAGAGAACATCGAGAACTTGATAATTCTTTAATTTTTCCGTCATTCTCACAATTTTTAATTAAATTTTACAATTTTCCAGATTTTGTAACCGAAACAAAGCCCCGTGCACGTTTAAAATTCTACGACGGTTACAGATCTAGTGATGTGCGTCATTATATTATACGGAGCCGTATCACAAACATTTCAAAGAAAATATCGATTCATTACTACACAAGACCGAAAAACGTAATAACGATGTCTTGTATAATTTGAACTCAAATATTTTAAATAAACCCCTTTCATATTTGATTGTTTTTAAAATATTGTATTTGGAGGTTTTATAAAACGTCTGATGATATTTATTATTTAAAACATTAATCTAAAATTTAAATTTATGGCTACAAATAAATTTTATTTCATTTCATTTCAAAATATAATGGAAGAACATCTTTAACTTCAAACTTTTATTATTATTTTTATTAATCATAATTACTGACTGAACTAAATAAAAGGTTCAGTACAAAATAGCTTTTTTACTCTGAACTCTTCTTTAATTATGTGTAATCTTAAAGTATTTCTTATAATTCAGCGTGCTTCTTGGCAAAGACTTCCGCTCTGTTCATTAAGTTCTATCACAAGCCACTCTCCTCAAGTTAGAACCCACTGTGAGTTTCAAATCATTCTCTCATCTGACTTGTGGTTTCGTTTTGCTTCGCTTAGGTACTGCTTCTAGGATGCCAACCTGTTGTTATTTTTAATTTATTCCGTTTAGTTCTCATTTCATGGTCTCTCAAACTCCACTTGCTGATCAATTGTTTTTAATCATTCCTTATTCGATACATTTTACGTGTTCACATCACAGTGATAATTTTTTTTCTGTATTTATTTTGTAAATTATATGTACGATGTTTCTATTTATTCAAGAATCACTAGGTGTATATTTAGCTCCTATTATAACACGGTTTCCATTAATAAAACTGTTTTTAATAAAACATATTATTTGAAATAATAGTAATTATAACGTCTAAAAATACACGTTATCTAATGATACATTTTATTATATATCTAGATAGGAAATTCTGAACGACATGCCTTTAAATGTCAAATTTACATTGCACTGAATAATTTTGCTAAACGATATTCTGTCGTGTATGGAATTGATCATCATCAATATTCTTTCGAAATCACTGGCGTTCGTTGTGACACTTAAAATAAAAAAAATGAAATACGGTACAAATACACATTTTTGTGCGTCTGTAAGATAATATTACTACTAAAGAATGGGTTTGCTATGCTGGGGACCGCGAGTTCGTATCACGGACAGAACAAGTATTTTGTATGACCTACAAATAATTGTTCCGGGTCTGGATATTTGTGCATGTGCAATTTATGCTTGTAAACTACCTCCACGATACAGGATAAAATCCTAGTGTGGGTAACGTGTTTTGTAAAAATAGAAAAAAAAATGCCAATTTGTATTATAAATCTATATTTCATTTTACAAAAAATATTTTTATTGGAACTATGAGACGGTTTTCTATTAATACCTTATTGATTTAGAGTACTACAATTGCTGTTTGATGCATTTTATACATATGGACTGATACGGGAAACTAAAGAAAACCCTAGTATTCTGCTCTATTCATATACACTCAAAGCAGCACAACTTTGTAACGCTCAAACATGAAACTTTGATTAACATACTACATAATATTTCAATGACTCAATCCTAATGATAAGAATAAACTGTGATGAGGCACATTTGTTCGACGTGGTGTCAATTTCTGCGACAGGACATTCGGCTAAATCATACGACCGGCACGTATGACATCAAGTGTTGGAGGGTTCGTTAAGGAGTTAGACAAACCGCTTAGAACCTGCATATATTTTAAAATGAAAGCTTTCACGTGACCCTGCATTGGTTATAGTTTCTCCATCAGTAGCAGGCTATAGTAAATACCTACCCTCAAGAAAATTTAAAACTGTATATAATGAAAATATCATGAAATAAAATAATAACCAATTTTACTCCAAATCGTAATCGTCGTCAGTTTCGCTATCCTATACCATGTTAAAGATGAAATGATTGGAGAAATGTGCACTTCTCAAGTCCTCGTCTCTCTGAGTACTGTACGAGCTGTTTGATTCTGTTTACAGTTTTTAAACTAACACCTCAAAAATATGTAGTTAAATGGCACGGTTTACGAAAATTCAAATTAGTAAAAACTAAATGAATATTGATAGAATCAGGCGTTACTTTGCGGAAATCCATTATAATGCTCCAACCCATTATATTATATTATTTTTT